GAGAAGAAGAAGGGCGGTGACCGCAAGGCGCTGCCCGAGTACGAGGCGCTCGTTAAGAAGGTTGAGGCTGCCGAGGCGGAAGCCATGAAGGGTGATAATGAGGACGGGGATGACGAAGATGACGTGCTTGGTGGCGCCAGCCCTGCCGGTATCAGCTTCTTTGCCTTCTTCGGCTACCGCGGCCGTGATGTCTCCGCTGAGCAGTCCAAGGAGGCCAACAAGGAGGACGCGGAGCGGTGGGCCAAGATCGCCAAGGGCGAGAAGGTCGAGGGTGAGGACGAGGAAGATGACGACGATGAGGATCTCGAGGATCTTATCGATGACCTCGAGGAGGCCGAGATCTTCGAGGACGGCGAGGAGCTCGCCATTGCCATTGCTGAGGACCTCTGGCCCGATGCGCTCAAGTATTACGGTGAGTAGGAATTCTTTCTGTCAAAGGCCCAAGCTGATTTTGTTTTGCTTTCAGTGCAATCGTTCGAGATTGCCGATGAGCTCTCCGACATTGACATCGATGAGGTTATGGGCGATGACGAGGATGACGACGAGGAGGAGGGTGATGAAGAGTCGCGCCCGCGCAAGAAGGCTCGCAACTAAATCCAACTGCCTTGAAACGCCATGCTCCGTGATTGTTGGTCCGGTATATCCATCCAGACGATCACAGAACGATGAGAAGAATTAATACGAGGACGAGGGCGAAAATGAGCGCTGCGATGCAGAAGGAGGACATTGTGTCTAGTTCCAAAAAGTTAGCTCAGTAATTTCATGATTCCCATTTCTTTTGTCTTTACCTTCATTCTTCCGTACGATGTGTCGGATCCGCGCCATGCCCGTGTTCAGTTTGCCGCCCACACGGTCCGCCAACGTGTCAACCTCATCGATCATGCCAGCCTGGTCCTCCAGCTCGCGTCCCATATCATTGGCCTGCTGGCGGAGGTTGCCCACGGTCCGAAACACGCCGTCTAGTTGCTCATCCTGCTCGTGCATCAGCTCGGTCTGGCGCTGCTGCTCCATAGAAGCATAGTAATCGTCTCCGCCGCGCCGTTGATCTTCTTCGTCGAGCGCGGCGTCAAAGTCCGCCGGGTTAGGTAAGTTCGGTGCGGCATCTGCACTTGAAACGGCTTGCTGTAACTCCTGGCGCATCTTCTCGATTTCTGCCCCGACATCGTCCACGAGTTTCCGGCGCCGCTGCACCTCCTCCAGCTCCAGGCCATAGCGGTAGGGGTCGAGCTCGATTGCGCGCACACTCTCGATCAGATCGTCCAGATCCGCGGTTAACTCGGTCAGTGTGGTCTCGAGCTCGGAGCGGGCCTGCTTCAGCTCGGGATTTGAGGGGCTTTTGGCCAGTGATCGGATACGGAGATATGAGGAGAACAGCGGCCGGCTGGACTGCAGCGTCGATAGGACGTCCCTGATCTTCAAAGTCAGCCCGATGAAATAAATAAACAAACAAACGACAATGATTACTCACGCCTGGACTTGGAGGAAAGGGTCGGCGTTTTCCATGGTTGCGGTGTGGAATGGGAGAGTTCGGGGAAGGCCACAGAGTGTTGGTTGAACAGCGGGGATGACTCAGCACCTAGACCTGGAGCCAAAAAAAGTTGAGAAAGACAAGAAGTAGTTCCTGCCTGCAACCCCCGTCCTGTATGGCTCGCCGCGATCCTCTTCCACTCGCAGAGGAGTGGAAGGACCCAGATACTTACATCGATGCCCTCCTGTCCTTCGCGACCTCGTCGGTTCGGTTCATGAACCTGTGCGGCGGCGTGCACATCCTCGACTTCCTGACGCGAGAACCCGATCTGTACACTACCCTCTTGCCAGAAGACTGGCGCACATTCTTTGAAGCACATGGAATTCACGACATTCTCCGTTTACTCCTGCGAGAGGACATTGAGCCGTTGCGCAAGCAAACCAATGTCAGTCCTACATGGAACGGAGGCGCATTCCCTCCCCAGACCCTTCTGGACTACATACACGACATTCGCCGACTGAGTCTTCGGCGGGAGTTTACAATCCCAAAAGAGAGTAACCCACTACCCCGACATCTTGAAGTGGGAATGAAAAAGAAGAAGATACACGAGGTCGAGAACTTCTCGCGCTATATCGGGTCTCTGTCCGATACCGTGAAAGAGCATCGTGGCGAACCGGTGTCGCATATTGTCGACTTTGGATCCGGGCAGAACTATCTTGGGCGGACACTGGCCAGCGCGCCGTACCATAAACATATTATCGCCATTGAACGACGACACCAGTATATCAGCGGGGCCAAAGGCATGGATGTTCATGCTAAACTGGCGGCTAAAAAGAAGACCATCTACGTGCATACCCGCAAGACGTCATGCAACGACTGCAATGGGACACCTGAGGTGTCTTCAGAGGAGAAGGCGGATGTCTCGAAGCCAGAAGTTGCGGCCCCTCAGAAACTAGCTGAGGAGGAAGACACTGCTGGAGATGAGGACATCACCATGTTCAAAATGCTGGGGGAGATCAACTTGGAACCGGACGAGCTGCTTGGCAGTATCAGGAAAAACAAACCAAAAAAGAAACCCGAGAAGCCGGAGAGGCCCGAAGCCCGAGGCCACCTCAGTTATATCGAACACGAGATCCAGGATGGATATTTACAACCGATCATCCAACATGTTGTCGATCCTCAACCAGTGGTGGCTGAGAATGGGACAAGCGATGAAATTACTGTTCAGGTCGACGAAAAGGGGCCAAGCAATGCCCGAGTCATGGTTGTCTCTTTACATTCCTGCGGCAATCTAGTCCACCATGGCGTACGATCCCTGGTGATGAACCCATCTGTCGTAGCTATCGCCATGATCGGCTGCTGCTACAATCTGTTGACTGAACGACTCGGCCCGGCCACCTACAAGCTTCCTATTCTACGGTCCCTTCATCCGCGGCTTAAAGAAACGGGGACCTCTTACGACCCGCACGGATTCCCCATCTCCAAATTGTACGAGGACTATGAGCACAGCGGCGGTAAGGGCATGAAACTCAACATAACGGCTCGTGCTCTGGCCGTCCAAGCACCTTACAATTGGGGCCACGACGACAGCGAGGGATTCTTCACGCGCAACTTTTACCGATCCCTCCTGCAGCGTATTCTGGTCGACCGCAAGGTCGTGCCGAAGCCCGGCATCCCGGAAGACCTATACGGAGATCAGCCAGGGCGGGGTGAGGCCGGCACCACAGCATTGATCGTCGGATCACTGCGCAAGACCGCCTTTGAATCCTTCACCACCTACGTGCGTGCTGCAGCCGCTAGATTGAGCCGCGACGAAATCTATGGTGCCAAGGTCCAGGAACAGCTGGGCAGCATGTCCGATGAGGATATCCACCGCTACGAGACTGAGTTCTCTCATACGAGAAAGAATCTCAGTGTGGTGTGGAGTCTGCTGGCGTTTAGCGCGCAGGTCGTCGAGGCGATTATTGTCGTGGACCGCTGGCAGTTTTTGCGGGAGCAGGACGAGGTCAAGGAGTGTTGGGTTGAGCCGGTGTTTGATTATGAGTATAGTCCTCGGAACTTGGCTGTTGTTGGGATCAAGAAGTGAGTAGCTACGTGAATGACCATAGAACATAGAAGATATACATGACCCAGATTTATCCTGCTTCTTGGAGCATCTAACAGGGTGATAAATCAGCTAGGAGAGCGAACGACCAAAGTCTTCCGTTATCTAGTAGATCATTGTGGCCTAAGCCTAGCCCGCCTATTGTAGTTAAGATCATCTGACTATTGTGGTACGCCCCAGGCATCAATTCTTCCATGAGCTCCTGAACGTTCCGCACTTTCGGATTTCCAAAAACCTCATTCCTATCTCTAGGCTTTCGCTATGGACCCCGGGACACAGGCTAGAAAGGAGTCTACTCGAGAAAGTGCTCGCTATCACACTTTGCTCCGGTCCTTCTCCCGCCCACATCTTCTTTCACTACCAACTGCCTCCGAGCAACCACGTCTCACGATTGGCTTTCTGGATGGCTCCCAGCATCAAAGCTCTATAGCAGAGCTCACTGTGCAAGATTGTCGGCCCTTCTTTTGGAAAGATTGCGTCATTTATATAAACATCACGTCGCCGCAAGGTAGAGACCCGGCCCCTACCTATACAACCGTCACCGACCACCAGAGTATCCTGAACGCCGTATACCAGACCTGGTTTCCAACCAGAGCCCGCCAATATGACCAGTATCTTAATCGCGGGAACTTTTTCGCGTCGCTAGTATGTTGTTGCCCAAGCAAAGGGCAAGGTCCTCCTAGCATTGCACGCATCAGAGAGTGCCATCAATTGCTCAGAGATCGATTGAAGACCTATGCGCAAACAGATCCTTCTTCTCGGTCGGACGCTGAGCTGTCCACTACAGTTGGTCAGACCCAAGAGGGCGCCCTTACTACAACTTTCGCTCGTGCGTTCATCGTGATTGACAAGCTAGATTGGGACGAGGAAGGTGTTCTCCTAGTCCAGTCTGATTTTCTCGCTTCTGATGGTGCTGAAGTACTAGAGAAGTCTCGGTTAAAGATGGTGCGGGAAAAATCATGTGAAGGAGACGGAGTTTGGAGGATGTCATTGATTGATGCGATGATGACCATAATCAGACACTCCAATGACCCACAGAGAGAAGTACCCCGACAGGATGAGAATGATTTCTTTGAGAAACGGTTTGGGAATAAAAAACCACGGGCTGATCAGTTGTGCATGGGCGAAGCATGGTTAAATGTCGATGCAGAGAGATTTTGGTCACAATAGAAGCATTCTTTTCTTTGGTAAATCCATGGATACATTCACGAAACGCGGCAAAATTTCGATGACCTCGCTGTCACCACAAATAATACATACTTAGTATTACTCTGTGTCCGATTCTGATTCATAGCTCGAAGATCTGCCTTTCATTCAAGTATCTGAGCATATACTGAGCTATAGCCGTCCCGAACACCAAATCCTATGTACTCTCTTCCTGAGACTGTATCCTGACGTATATACACTCCCTCTAACTGGTCTACAATATCAATAACAGGAATCCTCCAGTTCGAACCACATAGTGAACCATTGCGGCTCAGGCTCGTAGAAGACCGAGATACTTTTGATAGTCTGTCGGTCTAACGCAATAGAATAGTCTTTCAGGAAAAATAAGGTCCCTATCCCATTGGGGGTTGCAAGGGCGGCATAAAACGCATCATCATCTGGGGTCCAAGTGGTGATTAATGGGTTTCCTGCGGCATCTTCTCCCATCCTATCTGCAGCCGCGGTGGCTAGAGTCGAGTTCGTTTCAGTGTTGATAATTTCATCTTGGAAAACATATGAGAGCGTAGAGGGATCAATTTTAAGATGCCCACAGGCCGCCTGCCAAACAACCCACATCACTGCAGACCATTTATCCGGGGCAGTATCCATAAGACCAGTTTGCGGATTCGTCGCCCGCCCATAGTTGTTTGCCGCGATTAGTGTTCCGACTTGGGGTGCGACGTAGTTCTCGTAAAAGATCTGATTATTTGTTCGGAGGCGGACCATGACCTTAGCAAATGCATTGCGAGCCACATTGACTCCAGCTTGTTTCAGGGCATACTCGGTATCATCGGAAACTGTAATCGGGCCAGGTTGGCCAACTACCCAGTTCTTTGTCACGTCGATGGTGGCAACATCGATGGCATTAGGATCAGCTAAGACGGACTGGAACTCGGCCCAACGACGCCTGCCCTTGGCAACATATTCGTCGAAGCTCACGCTGGGAGAGCCAGCACGTTCAGAGAAAATATGAGTTTCGAACGCTTCTTCCGGTAATGATTTTTCTCCTTGGAAAGAGACTTCGGCAGTAGCCAGGACAAGAAACGGGGCAAGAAAATAGAAGGCTTTCATCGTGAACAAGAGGCAAAAGCCTGAGTTTGAGTAGTGTTCAGAAATTGTTCAAGGGCTTGAAGGTGTGTGAACCGGAACTAGTAGAAGAAATGGCGCCAGTAATGCCTATCTTTAACCACTCGACTTGTTTGTTCATTCTTCTTTGGGTGGAGTTTAGTCTATTTTAAGGTCAGGGTTTTCTACAAGTGTTTACGGCTTTTTAATACGGGATAGTACATAGTCCGTTTCTTTGCCGGTCGGTCTACTAAATATTCCCCAGTCTACGGCGCGCGCTTCACGCTGGATACCATCTATATTCTTGCTTTTCTTTCTACTTCTTCCACTTCCCATATGTGCATATGGTGCCGGTCCGTTTACTATGAACAGGCCAATGGTTATGAGCCTGTAATTATTAATATTTGTTGTACCAATCTAACTAATGTTCGCCCGTGAATAACGGGGGCCGAAGGATTTCTTCACATGGGGCCATTTCCTCGCACTGGGAGGTTTGGCACTACTAATTTACTAGGTTTAACACTATTCCAGTCACTACCACCTTCGACAACATCATTTAAATGCAAAACTAACTGGCTTCAAAATAAGGCTTAGCCTGCGACTATTTGCAGCTCCACCCCCTGGAAAATATGGACGATTTATACCGGCACACTCCAAAAAGGTTTCCCACATCATGAAAGTAATTTAATTGGCCGATTCTGAAGAATATCAGGCGCAAGTAGAGGAAAAACCTAGACTAGACCTTGACAACCCACGGGCCGGCCCACTTATCCAGAGATTTTGCTAAGTGCTATCTTCCCCAAGGACCTTTCACCCACCTACCCATTAAAGGAGGAGTTTTTATAAAGTAGATATAGCTAAAAGACGGCTATATTAGAAGGTATACGGAGCACCGTTTGCAAGACTCATTCGATGCTACTATACGTATCTACAAGGCTACTAAGTAATGTATCTCAATATTTAAACAATTATTAGTCCGATGAGGTTCCCAGTAAGTGAAGTCAAACAAGATAAACGCCTACTAGTCTGGCTTCGTGAGTCAAGCATTCATCATTACATCAGTCCATGACAATATCTAAGCATTTTCTCGGCGAGGAAAAAACTTTTAGTAGACGATGTTTCATCTCTAGTAGTATTCTATACTATCCGTATGTTCTTCCCTTGAACATCGTTATGGCACGCGGCCGGAACCTCGGTCCTACTATCACAGGCGCAAACCCACCACCAACATGCCTCCTATGCGAGATGCAAATCCCATCGATGCATGATTCTGGAATTGCAGACTCCCTTGAGGATGCTCAATTGCTGCTCAAAAGTCAATGGAGGGGTTATTGGAAATCCAGTCTAAAGCATGTGACGGTGCCATCCATCAAGGTAGAAGAGGCATGCTTTGGCGATTTTCCCCGGCTATGGTCATGTTTCTGTCGAGCTAGTAAGTTTCAGATAATATTTCAAACTAAATCTAACTGACTAATATAGTGATCAAGGAGTCAGATACTAAGTATCGTCTAACGGGTATTAACGTGGTGCCACGGCACCTAAATGTCCACTATAATTTCCCGAAAGATCCAACAATCGCGAGAATTGGTGGGAGAGAAAATGCCCGATATGATGATCAAGACTTCACTCGATTCCTTGCTGCGAAGATCGGAAGACAGCCGCGCCAGTATAAAGGGGAGCTACTTGGATATATTATTCATGCTCATTGCTGGGTGCTCTTTGGCCGAGTTCTGGGGGCCTTGCCGACTAAGACCAAACTCGCGAAATTTATCCAATCTTCCCGAAAACACTGGCGCAAAGAAAAATTACACGGCTTAGAAGATTACAACATTCGCTGGGTCAAGCCGAACCAGGCCCTATCAGAGCTTGAGTACGGCTGTGATATTTATCAGAATCCACTAGTCATACCAGCGCTTCAAGAAGTGATTACCCGCGCGAACCCAAGCCACACCATATACCCTCTTTTTAACAAGCTTCCGATAGAACTTGCTGTCCTGATCTGTGAGTGGATCTGCCCAGCTGACTACACCTCGAATGATGTTGAAAACCTGCGCAATCTGCTTTTCGCATTTCAGTGGGAGATGCCGGATGGCTTTTGGCGAAGGTGGCTAAAAGAAGATTTATTCTTCGAGTTAGATACTCTCAGGAAGTCTAACTCTCCAGTGAATTGGCAGGTATTGGGACTTGATTTGATGGCTCTTGTCTCAGATCGAACATGGTATACTACCAATGGTCTAGCGAATCGTGAACGCATACTCAGAAATATAATTGCTATCAAAAGGGGCTTGGGAATGAGTTAAGAGAACACAATAGTTGCTTTTACAAGAATTGCTATCTGAAGCGATTTATTTAACAATGTTTCGAAGCTATCAAAGGGAACTATGTATACCTTACCTTTTTCTAGTGAGTGACCTAAATTCCCTTCTTCTATACCTTGCAGTTTCGTTTGGAGCTTTTAAGGTTTATTGGTCTTGGTAACCCATTTATAGCGGGTAATGTTGTTCATCTTCTTTGGGTTACTTGAATTACTAAACATCGATCTTGAGACTTGACAGCCTTATCTACCCTCTTTCCTCCCCCAACCAGTGTCTCGTGTCTTTCTCTGCATTTATCGTAATGCTGCTTATAGACCCTACGGAGTAGACGCTAGGTCTCTATTTCTGTACAGGCTTGATATCTACTATAGGGAGAATGTACATACTTTGATCTTAGATAGCAGGCACCAAGTCCTAAGCCGGAAGTAGGTCGAAGGGGACAGCTACTTAGTCTCCTTCTCTACCTAAGACACCTAGGTACCTAACCTTGGAGGTAGGCATCAACTGTGACGATGAGGTCACTCGACCTCCATATTCGCTTTCAATGCCGGGTTGTCGAATTGGGAATGAGGGCTCAGGGTAAGGGCTGTAGGCAGTAATAAATCAATGGTGCCGAAGTAGAGTACGATGTCTATACGTAAGGTAATATCTATTTAAGATTAGAGCTTCTGTTATTTCAAGGACTGACCTCACATACAGACAGGCAAACTCCGTCTTTGGGTTTGTCTTTCTTTGTCTGCACCTATATATTAGACTGCACCCCTTCCTGTTGCTCTTTTCTTCTCTCTTCTCCCCATGTTGATTGTTTCTGTTACTAGATGCCTAGCTAGTTGAATCGAGCGATCTTTTTCCTCTTCCTTGATTGTGTCCTTCATCATGACCAATGTGAGCCAGAAAATATCAATCACCTTATGCATAAGTCACTAACTGCTATTAGTACACCAACTACCACGCTATCAGCCGAGAAATTGCGCGCATTCGACCAGGAGACCCTGAGTCGACTTTGTACGGGGTTTGGAATGCAATTCTAGGGCTACAGTTCCCTATTGCGCAGGGATACATCACGCGTCCCCAAGACCGACATACAGCCCAGAGCGGCCAGTACGGCTTTTCTGATCTGCACACATTTCAGTACCGTGGAAATGCGGCCAATGCAAGCAAATTTCTCATTGTGCAGTGTAAGAGGGCCGGATCTGAGAGTCAGGATTCTGTTTGGCGGGACGCTGTCGACCAGTTAGACCAATACTTGTGCGACACCCACGGCAGACGTCGACCTGCAGATCGCACCCCCGTCTATGGAATAGCTGCTGTCGGACTGAAGATGCGCGTTTATAGGTACGACGATGTGAACCAGTGTGTTCTCAATTGGGCACCAAGGGGGTTGCCACAGGGCGCGCAATGGGATTTGGAGAGTGAGGCCGGGAAAGTACAGCGTATTTTGGATCACATCCTCAACAATCATTAGATACGTGTTCCGGGGCGGCAGCATTAGCCTTCTTTTAGAGTAGACTTTCCCAAATATCGAGACACGATTATGAAGTCCATTGAATATCACGCCGTTATTTAACACTGTTCCAGTCACTACCACGTTCGACAACATCATTTAAATGCAACCCCTACGAAATTATAGAAATATTTCCTTTTAATTAAAAGTCGACGAAGCTATTGGTTTATTTCTCTCTTTTTTACTATTTCCTACCATATAAAGTTCAACGTAAGGTCGTTTTGTGGATGACCGTATATTTTGTTGCGGAACTACATATTATGAAGAATGCTAAGTAGCCATATCTGTTGCAGAATACTCTTATCCCAGTTACCGTGTGCTAATGCGAAGAAGCAAGATATGGCCTGTACTTTAATGAAGGCTAAGTATATGCCCTGATTAAGGTATTACCTACCTCTCAACTGATCTATTGTCCCATTTAGGTTTCAGTAGCCGTAGCCTAAGATTAGTCTCGCTCAGCTTCCAGATATCCAGGGTGTTTAGGCTTAAAAAGGCCTGGCAGTTTAAGAATTTACGGACTAATGACGTGGTGTGCTTTCTTTAGGCTTGGAGATTAACTTAACAGGCTAATAAGAGTTGCTGCTCTTACTAGTCAGAAGTGCAGGCTAGGAGCGATCAGTACGCTACATATAGTGAGTGGCTACACGCATGACGAAGCTATAGAGCTTCGTCATAATGGTCTTTTCGGCTTGGTTGGATAGTACGTGTGTGGCGTAATCCTCACAATTGGCATCAGCATAGGCTAAATCTGTTTCATCTCTTCATTAGGACACGGGTATTCCACACAATATACGCCACTGTTCGAAGTAGACAGAAGGTTGACCGTCAGCAGGAAATGTTAACATCGAGTAAGATAGGATATTGTTAGCCCACCAAGGGTGGTGTGGCACTAGCCAATAATGTCTCGATTGCCCCGCATTCGTCACGGAACTCTATGCTTATCCTTTTGCACAACTTCTGCAGAGCTCCGTTCCTCGGAAGTTTTTCCCTTAATGATCGCTGACTAGGACAGGGGTATTTGCGGGGAAGAGTATAGTATTGTTATTAAGTTCTGGGATGATTTATTTGCCTCAATATAAGTGGGTTCAGAATAACACTATGACATACTCCTCGGGACAAAGAGGGCTAAAATTGAACGATGACCAGGAGATACCTATAGAATATCTGACGTTGGGAGTAACACTTCAATGTTTCGAGTATAAAGCTAATGAGTTCAAAAAGAAAACAGAACTTTACCTGTTTGAGTAAGCTTCGGCCCGACCTGCCTGAACTCTAGCCAAGTAATGCGTTGTTTGGGAGACTTTTCTCTTTTAGCCATAGGCTAAAATGCTGGCAATTACATCTTCATCCAGCCTGATGATCGTATTGACAGTGGCTCTCGTCAGATTACTTGTCGCCTGCAGAGGGGTCCTGGAATTGGGCTTGAAGTATTAGCCGCTGGCAAAATCTGGGGAACTTCCATATTGCCGGCGATATGGTCGAAGGAGGAATAAAGGTAGACGATCGCCTCTTGCAGAATCCTCGATGGTCAACAGATCAACAACTCCCTCTTCCATTTCTGATTGCCTTACTATCATCAATAACCAACATGGTCTCCTTTTCTGCCATGGCCATTGGCCTCTCTACTATCCTAGTAGCCCTGGCCCTTCCTAGTGACATGTCTAGTGATTTGTCTAAGCGTCAGACGATCACTACCAGCCAGACCGGCACTAACAACGGCTACTACTATTCCTTCTGGACCAATGGAGCTGGCACTGTTGATTACACCAATGGTGCTGGTGGTGAATACAGCGTCACTTGGTCCAACGCCAACGGCGGCGACTTTACCTGTGGAAAAGGCTGGAATCCCGGCAGTGCTCAGTAAGTAGACCCAAAAGGCCTACATGAACAAGCTCATTAACATGCATGCGCGCACCTCCCTAGGGACATCTCGTTTTCCGGAACCTTCAGTCCAAGTGGAAATGCCTATCTGGCCGTCTATGGCTGGACCACTAGCCCCCTGGTTGAGTACTACATCATGGAAAGCTACGGAAGCTACAACCCGGGCTCTAGCATGACTCACATGGGCACTGTTACAAGTGACGGTGGAACGTACGATATCTACACTCACCAACAGGTTAGTGATTGCCATAGTCCTTCTGCAAATAACTCTGTTCTTAATGTGTCTACAGGTCAACCAGCCCTCAATCACCGGCACGGCCACCTTCAACCAGTACTGGTCGATCCGTCAGAGCAAGCGATCCAGCGGTACCGTCACAACCGCTAACCACTTCAATGCCTGGGCTGCTCTGGGCATGAATATGGGTGCATTCAACTATCAGATCTTGGTCACTGAGGGCTATGAGAGCAGCGGCTCTTCTTCTATTACCGTTTCGTCGGGTGGATCTTCGCCTGGTGGTGGCACTACTACTACAACAACAACTAAAACTACCACTACTACCACCTCTTCTGGCGGCTCTTCTACTGGCAGTGTAAGTTGATTCTCTACATGTTGTGCCTGTGGACGAGAAATTGATTTTGATCGTAACTAGTGCTCTGCTCTTTATGGCCAATGCGGTGGCATCGGTTGGACTGGACCGACCTGCTGTGCCTCTGGCACTTGCAAGTACGGAAATGCGTACTACTCACAGTGTCTGTGAGCCGATGCCTTTGAGGCATGGTATCGAAGCTGAGAGGTGTGAGAGGGAGATTGAACATGTTAGGATGAGATAGCTATAACGAGTCAAGTTATTTCAATGGATGAATTCTTCATATATGCCAAACTCACGAAGATCCAATGCGCTAACCAGCAGTGGTAAGAAACAGAGGGGTTTGGACAGTGAGGTCCAAGGCGTGGAAGTAGTTTAACTGTGCGGATTCGATTAATGCGCCTCGAGTCCAGTGATTATTATTAGTCCTGTATATATATCTAGTAACGTACATGCCACAGATGGATGGCTATATCACTCTCAACCGATTTCCACACTGCCCTCCGGCACACCCTGCCGACTGCGCAGCCTGCGTGCAAAGAACTGCATGACGGGCAGCATCTCATCACGATTCGACGGCATGCCATCGCCTTTCCTCGCATACCGACTCAACTCAACAAACTCAAACACCTCTTTCGTCCTGCGCACAGCAGAATCCGAAACCACCAGTGAATCCCGTCCCGCAACGAGCAACACAGGGGTCCGATTCTTCGCGCCACCTGTCTCACCAGACAGCGCGAACGGTGCCCCAATGGAAACCACCCCGCCCATTTCTTCCCGTGCTGTCTTCCCCAATGCCCGCGCAAGTGCTAACCCAACCATCCCGCCCTGCCCGAGCCCAAGCACCATGATCTCCCTTGCCCGGTAGCCGCATTTACCCATCAATGTGTCGCGCACGACATCATCAACTAGTAATGCCGTGGCGCGCGCAAACCCGGCGTCCATGTCTAGCGCCCCCGTCGACGAGTCGAAGGAGACATCGTCGCCCCAGTGGAAGCCGCCCAGGTCGAAGGGGAGCGGGGCGGGCGCTTGCACGGTGACGATCGTTGTCTCGGGGAGGTGGAGCGCGCGAGCGAACGATGTGAATCCCGCGGCGGTGTCGCCGAGGCCGTGGAGGAGGAGTAGGATGTTCGGCGCTGGGGTCTGGGCAGGGCTGGGTGGGTTGGTGATGGTGAGGGTGAGGGCGGAGGGGAAGTCGGATTGGAGGGGTGATTTGGTGGGCATGTTGTGGTGGTGGCTGTACACTTGGTCTATTTGGGGAGCAATAATAATAATAATAGTAATAATAATGGAGCTGGACCGAAGGACCGCCGCGGTGTGGCGCAGCTGATGGAGGGGCTGACGAAGACTGTGGATTGGTATTAGGGCTGGTATGGTCGCGGTATCATGGCTGCCTGGCGCGATCAACAGTGGCCGGAACATCGGTTAGGCCATTAAGGATAGCGTTTCGAGTGGAATCATGACATCGAATTGTTTCATGCTGGCCTAGGAACTGGTGGGCTTCATCTATATACTTCCAGCGACCTAGGTGCGAAGTATATCACTCAAAGACATGATTTTCTTTGGGGATGCTTTTGGCCTGCATTTGGGGACGTAGAATACATCAATTGACTTTCCACGGCCACTAGGACGGGGTCTGTCGATGTACTCCATATGTACTCCATGTACTCCGTGCTTTCTCCCGTCGCGTCGTATTAGTGTGGCTGGTGAATACGCAACCAACCCCACTCAGCCACACCGACGGCACACATGAAAGTACGTAATAGGATCCTAAGAGCAAAAACAGATCAATAGCGGCTTCAATTTGCTTATGCTGGAAATCCGCTATATGCTCCAATTCTCACCGCCGCTTGCCCCTATTGACACACTGCAAAGACATCCTAAACCCCATGTCGGGGCCGGCCGGATCGCCCATAAGGCAGAAAGGACAAGCCTCGGAGAGGAAGCTTGGGTTTCTTGGCGGGGTGATTATTATGCAATGTACATCGGCAATACCGCTAGTAGATCGTATTTCGCCGGGCTCTTCGGGCTTTGTATGATTTTAGTGTCGACCAACGGCAATAATAATAGTTTGTGTTTCAACACGGTCCTCACAACGGTACCTACTGTGTATAGTTAGGTCCCCACCATGCCCTATTACGCGCCACCGGGTGATACGGAGGGCGCCACTCTCACCCACGGGGAACCCTGTGAATGGGCAATGGCCATGCCCTTCGCTCAGCTCGGATACATACCCTAGCCACCCATACGATCTGCGCCACTAACGAGGGCCAAATACCGATGCAGCCCTGCGAGCCGTGGTCCCGGCTGCCCTATGGAGTGGGCCGCTGGCGCCTATCAACAAACACTCAGGGCCAGTGGGACCCGGCTGAGACAGAGAGCTCCTGACGAGATGGAGGAGGGGTGTTTTCTGGAGTCTTCCGTCGTCAGTGGTTGCTTGCTTGCGCTGCCTATAAGATCCCCTTCCTCGCCCCTCGGTGTTCATTCTTTCTTCATCACTCGACTCTCTTCATACCTCTCTATCTCACCACTTTTCAATCACCCTCTTCTCATATTCACAATGGTTTTCGGCTGGGGTAAGTATCGCTCTGCATGTCCCTGCCCCCCCTGCAGCATGCACAGGTACACATATGCAAGATACTGATGATCGATGCAGGCGAATCCGACGATGCTTCACCGTCAGGTGTACGGAGGAGAGCAGCACGAGAGTCACTTCTCGCACGAGCTCATCGCCGGCGCCGCCTCGTTCGAAGGCATGAAGCTCTGGGAGGACCACCAGCGCAAGGAGGGTATGTATACAATACATCCCTATCACCACAGATCCTCGTCAATCATCGCTAATACCCCCTGCTCCAGGCAAGCCCGTCAGCCACTCCTTCGCCAAGGAGGCCATCGCCGGCCTGGTCGGTGCCGAGGTCGACAAGCTGGCCGAGACCAAGGGCATGGATGAGGTTGACCGCCTCAAGGCCCGCGAGCACGCCAAGCGCAACGCTGAGCACATGTACGATGAGCACTACGTCCAGGGCCACGGTGCGGACCAGTACGACCCTCAGCGCTACGGCCGCCATGAGCGCCAGGAGCGCCGCGGCTGGTAAATGCGAGGCATGGATAAATGACCTGCTTTTTTGATGAGAAATATTTTCTCCAGTGTTCCCTGTATGTACCGGGACAGGACAATGAGAACAATCCCTTGATGGACCTGCTTGGTGATGACGTAGATGATGCAGACTGTAGTACAAAATAATTGTCCGGGAGTCCGGGAAAAGTCCGACAGGGCTGCTTTCGCAGACCCGTCATCGCCGACGAGAACACATTCCTACATTCCAGTCCAGATGCAGATCACGCACGATCGGGGAGTTGCGGGCTCAAACGGCGGGTGTGTGAACACGCCGGTATTGCAATCGAGACTGCGGCGTGGCAAACGTGGGTGATTGTAGTGTAATAACATACCGTAGGGAGTGAGTCCATGGGAGGGTTGTTGTCGTTGGAAGAAGGTGAGGCTAACTCGACATGCTTGAATGCCTCAGGCCAGCCAGCCATGAGATCAGGGCAGCACGTGCTCGTAGGAAAGGTTTGATTGCTTCGATCCGTACGGCAAGTACCGGCTACCAGGGAATGACTTTGGTGGCGGCTAAAGGTACTGGTACAACCACTAATTTTCTATCCGGTTTCTATCTTTCTTTTTTTCCTGTTCTGTCCCCGTTTGCTGCATCCTCCCCCACATCCTGCTGCCCTTCGACTATTATTCTCCGACCGCGCGGGGATCGCTCTCTTCTTTTTTTCCTCCGGTCCAGTCCACCTACCTCCGTCCAGCTCGTCCGATTGTTCTTGGAGATCATGCCGTGAAGCTGCTGGCCCACGATGAAATTCGCCAAGTTGGTTGCTCCTCCTCAAATAAACATTCCGCTGGCTGACCCAACTCTCCGTACAGAGAGCTAGAGCAGGATCTCGTTCCCGAATGGCGGGCCAAGTATCTGGACTACAAGGTACGCTTTTCACTCCGTGCACCGCACTCTCAAGCTTTCGGACGTGGTCGCCAACCGTGACACCCCCCGCATCTAGACCGGCAAGAAGAAAGTCAAGGCCATCACACGCGCCCTGCAAAAAGCCCAGCGCAGTCCTTATACCCCGACCCTCGGAGCACCAACCCCTTCCTCCCAGGGAGCCCCCGTCCCGACAACCTCACGTCATCCAATTTGGGTAAGCCTCTCAACCGGCACCGGTCGAAAATCAACTCTCGTTCCACGCCGAGCCCACAAGCCGAAAGACAGCCGTTGCGGACACCCAAGTCGCGTCCCTCACCACACGTGGGGAACCGAAGCTATGGGAGTATCATCGCGACGCCACCCCTCCGCGGGCAAGGGTCGGATGCCGAATCCTTTGAGCTCCCAGACCCTGCTATGGACCCGCAGGAGGAGTATGTACCTCCGGAAGACGACGCCGGCCTCTCCAATAGGGTGAAAACGCCGGCACCGATCTTGCCCAGACGCGCTACGTTTGGAGATCTGCCGGCGCGCGATGAGTCTGCCGAGCAAAGGCCGTCGTTGGCGCAGCAGCAGTCCTTCAACAGCCCAGAAGGCGGCGCTTCGAACAAAAGTGAATCGGGGAATCGCGCATCCACCCTTCTCCGCCGTGTCTTTTCCAACGCAGAGGGAGCATCTCCGGGCAAGCGAACACAGTCCAATTACCACCCCGACGTGGAAAAGCGACAAGATGAGTTCTTTGCATTTCTGGATAGCGAGCTATCCAAGGTTGATTCTTTTTATGTGATGAAGGAGGAGGAAGCATTGGAGCGCCTACAGCTTCTTCGCCACCAGTTGCATATCATGCGGGATCAGCGGATTCAAGAATTCATGGCTGCCAAACGAGCCGCCAAGGATGATGAGGCTGAGATGCAGCCACGGCCCAACGGATTAGGAAAATTCAACGATCGTCTCAAAGGTACCCTGACAGGAAAACCCCGATTTGGCAAGAACTCTGAAGCTTTGGCGGAGATGGCAACCCCAGGGTTGCAGGGGCGGGATCACGATTTCATTGTCAACCGCAGGGACTTTACTCGACATGACCCGCAGAGCCACGAGGTGTCCTACCGCACAGCCAAAAAGAAGCTCAAGCATGCCTTGCAAGAATTTTACCGCGGAGTGGAGCTCTTGAAGGGATATGCTTACTTGAATCGGACCGCCTTTCGGAAAATCAACAAGAAGTACGACAAAGCAGTTAATGCCAGGCCCCCTCTTCGATACATGTCAGAGAGGATCAATAAGGCGTCATTCGTTCAGAGTGAGGCGCTTGAGAGTTTGATGGTCACTGCCGAAGACTTGTATGCCCGCTATTTCGAGCGAGGCAATCGCAAGATCGCGGTATCGAAGCTTCGACACAAAATCACGAAATCCGGAGACTATTCTCCTAGCACGTTCCGCGCAGGACTGATGTTGATGGCCGGGGCATTGTTCGCTATCCAGGGGCTGGTATATGCTGCTCAGCATTTACATTCTGGCGATCTTGAGATTCATGACCGCACCAGCTATTTGCTTCAGGTCAGTACCTTCCTTATCTATCAAGTCCACAGCTGATGATAAAAGATTTACGGTGGGTATTTCCTTATTACGTTTCACGTCTTTCTCTTCTGCGTCGATTGCATGATTTGGACGAAGTCGAAGATCAACTACGCATTTGTTTTTGAATATGATACCAGACACACACTGGAGTCGCGTCAGTTGCTAGAGGTAAGCATCTTGACGGGACAACAAAATTTGGTGTTCTAATATGGCCGGCAGATTCCTTCCTTTTTCTTTTGCTTGATGGGCCTCTTCATGTGGCTCAACTTCTCATGGATTAATGCCATGTATATCTACTGGCCTGTCGTGCTTATTGGCACCACGCTCATTGTTATCTTCTTGCCGGCTCGTATACTTTATCATCGGAGTCGAAAGTGGTGGGCTTTTTCGAATGTATGCAGCCCTTCTGTTTGACTCTGACTATCGTGACTGACCCATGCAGTGGCGCCTTTTGCTTGCCGGGATTTACCCAGTTGAATTCCGTGATTTCTTCCTTGGGGACATGTACTGCTCTCAGACCTATGCGATGGGGGTATGACTCCACTCTTTCTTTGAGCCAGGAAAATACTGACTCCATTATAGAATATTGCGCTTTTCTTCTGCCTTTATTCAGCACACTGGAATAGCCCATCTCAATGCAACTCCTCGCACTCTCGACTGCTGGGATTTTTCACCTGCCTCCCCTCAGTATGGCGCGCTTTCCAGTGTATTCGTCGATACCTGGACACCAAGAACGCGTTCCCGCATCTTCTCAATCTGGGCAAGTACATATTCGGTGTCCTCTACTACGCCACCTTGAGCATGTATCGCATCGACCGCGATACGCGATACCAGGCCTCGTTCATCACTTTCGCTCTCCTCAACTCCGTTTACACCTCCGTGTGGGACCTGATCATGGACTGGAGTTTGGGTAACCCGTATTCCAAGCACCCGCTGCTCCGTGAGGTCCTCGCATTTCGCAAAGCGTGGATCTACTACGCAGCCATGGTGATCAATGTGGTCGTTCGCTTCAACTGGATCTTCTACGCCATTTTCACCCTTGAAATCCAGCACTCCGCCGTGCTCAGCTTTGTGGTCTCTTTCACCGAAGTCTGCCGCCGCGGCATCTGGTCCATCTTCCGTGTCGAGAACGAGCATTGCACGAATGTGCTTCTGTTCCGCGCCTCGCGAGATGTACCCCTTCCGTACGAGGCCTCTTTCAGAGCCACTCCAGCCGTGGACGGCGGCGACTCTCCTGAAGATGTGCAGCTCCGGGAACAGCCTATCCCAGCCACACCATTCATGCCCCCTGACGACGTCGAGCACGGCGCGCCATCTGGGTCGAGTCTTCGAGCACGTCACCGTCGTCCGTCGGCTGGTATCGTCCGTGTCGGTACGGCCCTCGCCTCTGCGCACGCTCAGGACTTCCAGCGACGCCGTCTTCCAAGTTACTTCTCGAGTCCTACCATGAACGACTTACCTCGCACCGCCGATGATACTAGTGATGAAGACGAGGAAATAGATGTCCTGACTGATGAGGACTCGGGGCTTACGGCGGATAATACCTATCACGATCAACATGCAGAGTAGCCTGGGCCGGTCTCTGATAATAGGAGTTCATATACATAGATGGCTTAATTAATTCTGTCAATAAATATTGCCAACCACAATCAATTCTGTTATTCCAAAACAAATGTATACATCTGTTATCTTATCGAGTGTGGAGGAGAACCACGTGACGCCCGGGCAACGTCACATGGCCCCAAGTCAGCCTGTCATCCGCGCCTCATCATCGTTGCATCTTCTTTGCTTCCTGTCAGCCTCGCCCCATCATCTCTTTCCCTCATCAATTCTGCTCCAACACCATCCCTCATCGATTAGATACTAGGCGGCCTGCGAACAACCATGGCAGCGAATACCCGCTACGAGCCCGCTCCTCAGCGGGACTCCTTCGAGGATCACCCGTACACCCAGGCACCGCCTTCGTACCAGGCTGGGGATGACTTTGCAACGGAACCGCGCAGCGAAGGGGACAATGTCCCGGATGATTTCAAGGTACGTCTTCTTGTCTGAAGAGTGTTGAGCTCTTGAAGTTGTAGATGAAGCTGACATGTGTCTTGTATAGTTTGGCGGGATGGTGGCGGAGGCTACTATTGATATCCGAATGCAGTTCGTGCGGAAGGTGTACTCGATCTTGTAAGAACATAGCCTCTCTCATAACATCCAGACATGACTTCTCAAAACCATGAACAAGATCACCCTAAACTAACACCCACCTCTCCAGAACCGCGCAAATCCTCCTCACCACGGTCCTCAGCTCCATCTCTTTCTTTAACACCACCTATCGCACCTGGATCCAGTCCAACTTCTGGCTCATGATCATCTCCATCTTCGGCGCGCTGGGTTTCATGCTAGCAACTTACTGGAAGCGCAAGTCCTACCCGGCCAACCTCCTCTTCTTGACGGGATTCACCGTGCTAGAAGCCTACTCTATCAGCGTGGTGACCTCCTTCTACGATGCAAGGGTTGTCGTGCAAGCCCTCGTTCTGACGTTGGGTATCTTTGTTGCTTTGACCCTCTTCGCGTGCCAGACAAAGTACGACTTCACGAACTGGATGCCCTACCTCTTTGGCGCGTTGTGGTTCATGATCCTCTTTGGCTTCGTCGCCATGTTCATGCCCTTTAACAGCGGTGTTGAGATTGCGTATGGTGTCGTCGGTGCACTGGTGTTCTCGGGGTATATCCTCGTGGACACGCAGCTCGTCATGCGGCATTACCATGTCGAGGAGGAGATTGCGGCGGCCATCTCGCTGTATCTGGATGTGCTGAATTTGTTCCTGTCTATTCTGCGCATTCTGAATGGGTCGAACAATAACTAGACAGAAAGGGAGAGGATGCATATGGTTGGTGGTTTGGTGGGATGGATGTTCAGATGAGGAGCGGGTTTTCTCTCGGACAAGAGTTATCTCTCTTTTGGTTTTTCTTTCTGTTCCCACGCATATGACATTACAAACATACCTCGCCCAACTGTTTAGTCTCTTAGCCTTGATCAATCTGTATGTACTAGCATTGCTTAGTTGTCATCTGCGACAGGGACCTACATGTCCATACACCCCTGAATGCCACTTCTTATTCCCCAACAGATTCCCCAACTATTTTGTATGTGGTCTGGGCTTGTAATAAGCCTAGTCCCTGTGAACCTTCGACAGAGCATAAAGCGGCGATGGTTCCTTACTCGAGTGGCTGCTGCCTAAATTGCGAGCTTAGAAGCTTATTTCTCCACCCCGTAACTCCGCTTACAGAGCAGAGAAAACGATGATACGAATCAGCCTCGAATTTGAACATTGTTCTAGTGCTGAGAAATCCGACATAGCTTATATCTCCCAATGCACAAAACACGCCGGGTAGGGAGAGGGCGGTCTCGAACAGGCTGCACCACCTGCAAGTGAGTATCATCGATCAGTCTTTTTCCCTTGTGCTCTAATAGCCCTGCTAGGGCTCGACATATCAAATGCGACGAGGCAAGACAATCATGCACTCAGTGTCTATCCTCCGGACGCATCTGCGGAGGCTACGACTTTTCATCGGCTCGACTCAAATTGAAGCAGTGGGCACCACCATCACCGACAGATTCAGCCAATGCGTCGCCCAAACAAACGCTTGAAACCCTGCAAGCTAGCCCTATTCAGCGCTACTACTTTGAACTCTTCCGGCAACGGTTAGCCATTAAATGTTCTAGCAGGTTTAACATGCCCCTCTGGACGGTTACAATGCTCCAGGCTAGTTACACGGATCCGTCCATTCTCAGTGTTCTCGTCGCCATTTCGGCCTCAGTTGGAAGAGAGCTTGTGCCAACATCGGATTCATCTTCATCGCCCCCCTCTGTATTTTATCAAGAGGCTGTGACTGAAACTAGACGGCTTCTTTCCCGGACTCGCCCGGCTTTGCAGACGATAGTTCTCTGCTGCATCGGCCTCACTACCCTAGAGGTTCTTCGGTGCCAATATATCGCTGCCTTGATTCACCTCGAGAGTGGCATCAAACTGCTCAACACAAATGGTGACATGGCGGAACTAAGCCACCGATTGCTTGATCGAGAGGTTCTTCAAGGTATCATGGACCTTGATCACCACGCCTCTCAGTATCTAGACGGCCGTCCACCTTTGTTATCGATTAGTGCGGTACCACTGCGCGGAGTGGATCAATCAACTGCCGTCACAAACGCATTCAACTCTCTAGAGACGATCTCTCGGCGTGTGCTCCGTTTTACTCGAGTAAAGGCGGCTGAGTATAGTGCAGAAAACCTAGGACAAGCGGCCCTTGAAGTCTATGCAGAGCTGCAGAGCCTCATAGCGGATCTCTCTGCCTGGTCAACTGAATACTCAGACGGGCTGTGGGAGGTCTCTCACGGAGAAGATGAAGAAGCGAGCTACAAAGCAAAACTGCTTCTGATGCAGCACTCTCTGGTGGTGTTGGAAGCTTCGACATCCCTCTATGCTGAGGAAAGTGCATATGATAAGTTCGAGATTCAATTTACGCGGATAGTGGCTCTGGCAGACGACCTCCGGTTCAGCCCTATATTTGCGCTTGGATACTCCGCGGAAATATTCGGGATGGTGAAGCCGCTATATGTCACGGCTGTCAAATGTCGCAATTTCAACATCCGTTGTCGAGCCCTAAATCTGCTGAGCACCACTCCTCTTGAGGAGGGTGCCTGGTCATCGACAGTCATGAGTCCCATTGCGAAAGCGGTAACGGACCTTGAGGAGCGGTGTCGTGTTTGGGATGGCCATGAAAGCTACATTGCCGAGCAACACCGCGTCCATTCGGTCGTCTCGGATATTGACCATCAGAATAAGACGGCGACAACTAAATGCACGCTGCGTCCGAATGGAATGGACGGGGAGTGGGAAACAATGACGGTGAAGGTGGACTGGGTTTAGCTCGCTTTCCTGGCTATTATAGGATTCGAAGCCGAGTTTTGGGAAATTGTCACAATTGTGCCATTCTGTCATGCTTCCTTAGGTTGTTACAAGGATTGTTCTATCAGCGATGCGATAATGAAGTACCTCATCTGGGTGGGAATTCACAACTGGACGAGAAGCCCATTGTCAAATACAATCGCAAATGGCCCATTGACTGATCCCAAAGCGCCGCTGGGGGCGGCGAGGGTGTATTTTTCGCAGGTATACACAGTAGTTAGAGATCTTACCAATCACAGATAATTTTTAATTCTATATGCGCTATCCCGAATTAGGAGATTTTTACGCAGCCCCCACCTAAGAACGCCGCTAAACCGGCATCACATTTCTTGTTTGCGCTTCGCATCGGCCATGAGGAATTAAATAACAGAAAGCTAAATATGTGGTCAATCGTTGCCACATAGTGCTATCCTACTTGTCCCAACATGGAAATATACTCGGCTGGATTCTGATCGATTCGCAGATGCCTAAAAAGATCAATGGAGATAAATAGCAGCGCAATGCTATTATCTACGCTGTTCGAGCATTTCAATCTTTGAAGACTATTTTGTTTATACTACTGATCATTATGCGGGCCACGAATATCAGCCTCGGTCTTTTGCTGGCCGGAATGACCCTAGCGTTCAACAACCCTACCTTCCTAACGCCTGTGTTCCCAGTGCCTCTGAATCTGGGAACAAATGAAGCATGGCACTCTATCAGACAAACGATTACTTCCAATCTCACCGGTGCCATCGCCGCCGCCAACGGTGGAGCGGGTGCAAATTCCCTCGCTATTCGAGCAACCTCCGTGAAGGAAGACAGCCCTTTGTTCGAGTTCTATCACACGGCCAAGTCGGTATCCCCGGCAGGTGTGCAGACAGTAGGTGCAGACACGGTATTCCGCGTCGGAAGTGTCTCGAAGCTGTTCACTGTCTACTCTCTTCTTGTTCGCGGCGGCTTCGACGTATTTGACGACCCGGTGACGAAATACGTCCCTGAGCTTCGAGAGGCAGGTCTGAACTCCAACTTCGATCCACTCGAAGATGTCAGTTGGGAAGAGGTCACTGTTGGTGCTCTGGCAAGCCAGTTGTCCGGCATACTGCGTGATTGTATGCCATTTTTGTGCCCATCCATGTGGTTCTACTATCATCCAGTTATCGCTGACAAGTATATTTCCTTTACTAGATAACCACGCCGACTTGTCCACTCAGGGCGTACCAGTTGAGGCATTTGGCCTGCCGCCTCTTCCACCACACCATATTCCGAAATGCGATGGAAACGAGTCCCAGCCTCCATGCACTCGCAAAGGTTAGCAAGTTGGCTCGTGAAAGTCATCCAAGACTGACATAACTACTATCTAGAGTTTCTTCAAGGCCTACAGGGTCTAGACAAGCAGCCACCTGTCTTTCCTGTATGGGCAACGCCATCATATTCGAATGCCAATTTCCGAATTTTGTCCTACGTCTTCGAGAGTATCACAAATATGAGCTTTGCAACAGGGGTAGAAAAAGACGTCCTTCGGCCCCTTGATCTCTCAAACACGTATACTATCAAACCACAAGACAGCGTTGGGATAATCCCAACGGGAGTCAGTTTATGGGGTCAATTCCTTGGACAAGACTTGGCGTATGTTTCTCACTTCAATGCTATTGTCTCTCAATCTCCGACTCACATCTGGTGTTGAACAGGGATGCGGGATTTTACTCTTCGGCAAAGGATCTGTGCAATTTTGGTCGCGCAATTTTGGATAGCTCACAGCTGACACCGGCGGAGACAAGACGGTGGTTAAAGCCACATTCGCACACGGCGTCCCTACTGCTTTCCGTGGGTATGCCCTGGGAGATCTATCGGCAGCAAACAGGCGAACATGTTGTCGACTTTTATACCAAGGACGGCAGCTACGGCGCCTATAATTCGATATTAATACTCGTACCTGACTACGGCATGGTGTTCAGCGTTTTAACAGCAGGCCCGGATTCCAATCTGGTGATTAACGCTGCTGAAATTGTGCGACAAAACATCATGCCGGCCCTCGAAGCAGCCGCGAGAAAGCAGGCAAAAACTCAATATGAAGGGAAGTATTGCCTCTCTTCCGGTGGACAGATGACAGATCTGATTGCGCTGTCGGTCGATGACGGAACAGGGCTTTTAGTGGACAAGTGGATCAGTAATGGTCAGGATTTTCTGGCTATTGCTTCGCAATATGCCGAAGATACAGGTAGTGGGCCACTGCAGACAGTCCGACTCTACCCTACCGAACTTCAAGCCGCGGGAAAGGTTGCATTTCGGGCGGTATTCAACACTTCTGGTGGGCGAACTGGTGCTGGTGCTCCTCGGCTGTTTTCTCCGGGCGTGGAAGCGTGGAGCAGTGTTGACAACCTGGTTTATGGACAGAAGCCAATGGATCTGTTTTTGTTCGATATCGACTTCCATGGCGTGGCGCGGACGGTTGAATGCAGCGGCTTGAGGAAAGTACTGCCAAAGTGCTAGAGTCATAAAGCATCCAGCAGATTGTCGATCCATTAGCCCGATCTTGTTCTGTCACAAGGCTGCTTATGTCTAGTTGTAATAATTGAAAGCACATCTTACGCTAACATGAAATTAATCTCATTAAATTGGAAGAATAGAGCTATGCAGAAGAGGAAAGTAACGTAACAATCAGCCAATGTCAAGGACTCGCTCCAAACGCCAGGATGCCAAGGGTGCAGAACCAAAACAGAACATCTATGGCGTCAACCATCAACGTAGTCAAGGGAAAGTAAGATTCCTGCCGGTATACAGAAAAGTAGATGATCCAAAACGATGGATATTCTCCAACAATACCCGCTTTTCAGGAAAAGAACTATACACGCATCGAGCTATAACTCAATGCGAGGCGATGAAGAATGTGTTCGTAATGAGACAAACCACCATGACCAAAAGCCCGTAACACGCCAGGGCCAGACTAAGAGGGCGGAGGAGTGCCTTGCGCCAGTGACGTGTGGAACGACGGAGCAGGCCGCTTTCCGCCAGCGAGCGGGCCAGAGAGCCCTCACCACCGTCGTCGGGTCCCTCGCCTTCATCGGACAGTTCATCCACTGCCTCGTCGTCGCCCTTCATTAGGCAACGGTGAGTGGGCGAGTCTGGGGAGGAGATCTTATAGTAAAACAAGCCCGGAAGAATAAAGCTGATGCTCGTGCTGCCGGTGCTGCCCACGTACGCGAGCACGGCTTCCAGTGAGGACACGGTCATAGCCACGATGTAGCTCAGGATGAGGATGGTGGTGGTGATGATTGAGAAGCGGAGGTCACTCATCGGCTCTGGGGCTCGGTGCCCGCGTGGGCCCAGCAGTGGGTGTCGGTGTGGAGAGCTCTCCGTACCTGCGCTGTTGGACTTGGGGCGCCATTTCAGGACGGCGTCGACTGAGGCTCGGCATGGGTGGCACTGAAGTGGATAGGAGAAGACGACGAGCATCACAATCGCGGCACGACCAATGGTGGCGGCCACACCTGGCGGATACATGCCCACAATGTTGCCGCCGACATTGTTTCCAAAAGAGAGATATCCCGTGATGGCCACGAGGATGTAAGTTGCGGCTGCACCGCCAATGCTGGCGAGAACAACACTGGTCGTGCGGAAGTGGCTGTTGTTGGCAATTTCGTTGAGAATAGAGAACATCTAGAATGCCCGGTTAGAAGACTCGCATGAAGATAGAACAATGTTGCAAACGTACATTCTGATGGCATGTAAATGCAAAAACAATGACCGGAAGACTGCTCAGGGCGGGTACTGGGCCAGCCCAATGGATGCCGCGGATCGGACCCCGGTCTGCCTTTGTATCTCCCTTGATGAAATGGTACACAACCAGAACGACTAGGTAGGCCATGGACACCAGGGCCGCGATGCTAGTGTACTTCAGGGAATCCAATCGGCGCAGGTAGGAGAGGGGGATCACAATCAACCTAATAACCATAAGTTAGCATGATAATCAATCAAGACCTCTGACAACCACATACATGAAAGCTGTAACCCAGAAATGACGATCCACCAAGAAGTCATAGGCGGGCTCGCCACCTATGAAGCCCTGAACCACGCCCGGCATGAGATCACCGATGATGATGAGATAGCTCACACCGACTCCGAAGCATTTGATGGCAATGGCGGCATCAAAAACGACCGCCGCGTTGGGGTATGTTAACTGTGAGAGCGCGAAGAAGGAGGCACTGCCCCGGTCAAGATACTGCGCACAGCGCGCCTGGAGATAGAGGCCGAAACCCGCGGTAACGCCCGACCACAGAATGACGCAGACGCCGAGGGAAATCCCCATATGTGAAATGGCTAGAGGCATCGCCAGAACGCCTGCTCCGATGACTAGAAGATAGAGAAAGGCTAGTCAGATAATGTCTCGTGGAGTTCAGTCTGATCTCGAACTCACTGGTATTGACCAGGTTGATCACGCTGCTGGCCCAGCTGGCTTCACCTGCGACACCGACTCGCTTTCCTCGGCTGGGACGCCTGTTGCATCAATTAGTGATCAGGCCGTTGAGAAACAGGCCAGTATCTTTACATACCATCGGCGGGGGGCATTTGGCCCTCCTGCTGGGCCAATACCGAGGGTCGCCTCCTCCTCCTCCATGTTGTGTAGGATAGAGAAATATGATCAAAGACGGATAATTATGGATCGAAGGGCATCAACCACATAATAGCGACCGCAGCCAGCGGCAGACGCAGTAGGGGCAGGCAGGAGACGCAGGGGAGAGAGATCAGGCGGAATATGGGGAAAGACAGCGAGAGAGAAAAGATAAGGAGTTCGTTGCCTTATCACCTGACTGACCCCATTCTTCAAATGCTTTGACCATTGCGTGATACGGACTGATTAACTAACCACATACTAACTACAGCTTCGACTGCCCCCATCCCTTCTGCGACAAAAGTTGAATACTCTCCTCCTCTACGGCCTGGTGGTCCGACGCCGTGTTGCCTGGCCGATCGCCTGGCCCCTCGTCCATAAACGGCTTTACCTCCCGCACCGTCTTGGACACTTCGAGAATCGTGCCTCCCTCTACAGCAAAGTGTGGCCCGCGACCACTCCGGTCTCCAATAATCTCACCAACCTTGTCCTGCTGCACCAGCGCCAGCATCACCTCCGCCACCTCCTCGGGCGTCACCCACGCGTCCGCCTTATCGTCAACCATGACCAGTTTCTCCGGATGATCGGTCCACAGCGGCGTTTTGATGACTCCGGGTGCCACCGCTGTAACGCGGATTCCAAACTGCTTGTCGAGCTTGGACAACGACCGAACCAGGCCGTTGATCGCGTGCTTGGTGGCTACGTAGATCGGGGCAGCGAATGCTGCATTCTGTCCAGCAATGCTAGAGATGTGGACAATGTGTTTTGAGCGGCCGCTGTCCCGGTGGCGGAGGAAGTGCGCAATCGCTAGCTGCGTCGTGCGGATGGGGTGGGTGATGTTGATATCTATCAGCGCATAGCGGCCGCCGGCGGGCGAGTCTTTGCTTGCTGCAGAGCCGGGTGGGCGCCAGAAATTGCTCCAGTGCTGTGGATAGTCGGGATGGTCAGCGAACTGTTCGCGGAGTAGATGGCTTTTGTAGCTTGAAAGGCCCACGTACCGGCTCGTAGACACCGGCGCCGGGGCACACGATGTCAAGCTCCCCGAATTCTTTTTCCGCGACTTCAAACATCCGGTCTAGCTGCACCCAGTCCCTTACATCGGTCTTCTGGAATACCGCTCGCGCTGATGGGCCGCGCGAATGCTTGTCAACCAGGACCTGGGCCTCTGGGCGTAAGGCTAGGTCTGCGATGAGGACGTTGCACCCATGTTCCAGCAGTAACTTGGCAAAGCAGAGGTTGATTCCTAGTTGCGAGTGAGTAACTACGAGACAGCTACTCTGTACTGTCCAGAAAGTCACATACCAGAGCCTGCGCCAGTTACAAGGGCAGATTTGCCGTTGACTGAGACAGCCATTTCTTCAGAGGTGCTACAGGACAGTCAGATCTGGGCCCTGTGGTACTTTTATGGTCACAGGTGGGACTATCCACTGGAGATGGAGTGCCTCTGCCCCGCAAATCCCCCATTAACCGACACGGTAGGTCGCCCGACGGCTCGGTGAGGTCGCCGAGATCAACTTACTCAGAACAGTCAACGAAGTATAACGGCTGATTATTGCCGTAGTATGAGGTTCCTGAAAGTAGCAATCATGTTCAGTCCAAGTCGCGATCGACATCACGGTGGAACATCACCCCGAGAAGTGCTCGCCACAATTACCCCTTCCAGATTAACTACATTTGTTCCGTCGGGATTTTTGCTTTTTGTGGCACTGTCATCACAGAACTTGAGCTTGATAGAATTATTTGTCTTTTTCCCTACATCGACCCCGCCTCCAAGTAATACAAGCATACGCCCAGCATTCTTCAAATGGCTTCCTATAGCTCATGCGGCTAGTACATTTGTATTTCGGTCAATGCCTTTCGAAATTGAAACAGGACGTTCCCCTACAACCAGGTGTATGTCCTTAGAAATAGGAAAACTAGTAGCAGTTCATGAGAGGAGCTATTCTCACTGCAGATGTTTCCTTCTGCGGAGACTCAATGTCAAATACATGTCAATAGATTAAACATCGAGATATGGATATCGCTATGAGAATTATCTGAGCAAAACTATTCAACCAAGTCCTAGACACCCTGCGGCAATAATGGGTCTGGTCATAGACGGCCTGCACCCACGAATAGTGCCGGTTATTTCTTTTTTCTTCGCACTTACCGACTCTAACCACTCGGTAAAATGCCGACCGAAGGGTCGAATGACCTCATGCTGGAGCCCACTCTGCTATATCACCTATAACGGAAATCGGCCCGCCCGGTCTGGTCATATGGAAATTGTCAGCAAATCAGAGCGCGCATATTGGTAGCCAACTAAGCCCAAAAACGCAATCTCCCGCCTTTGTCGGATAAATTTCCATTTGCGGTAACCTAACCACCATCGTACACTTCGCCGCCGTGGATCACAGATACATATAAACAGGTGGCACAAGCCTGCGGGGAAAGGTTGTCCATCTTATTTTGAGCACCTCAAACTCAAATATGGCTTCCAGACTTCTCTCCAAATCCGCCGTGCGCGCGGCGTCGACGACCGCGTCGCAGACCACCAAGGCTGCTGGTGATATTTCCTCGGTCTTCCCTTCTCTAAGACCCGACTACCAACCCGAGCCTCTTCCACCACGATTCCGTGATCTTAAGATGAAATTCTTTGAAAAGAACCAAAAGGCACTCGAACAAAGTTGGAAGAGACTGCTTCCAAGTCTGGAGGAGGAGGTCGAGAAGATCAAGTCGAAGGGCAGTGATGTATGTGATCTGATAAAATGTATGCACTGTTCCAGTACTAACATCAATTTAATAGATTATCCCCTCGGTTGACTATGCCGACGTGATCTCCGGCAAGGTCCCTGAAGCCGCACTCAAGGAGATCAAGCACCGGGGCACGGTGGTCGTTCGTAATGTGCTGCCCCGCGACCAAGCTCTGGATTACAAGCAGCGAATCCGAGACTATGTAGCTGCAAACAAGGAGCGTGTCAAGGCGTTTCCGCCCGACTCGCCAGCTGTGTACGAACTCTACTGGACGCCATCGCAGGTCGAGGCTCGGGCACACCCGAAGGTGCTCGATACACAGCGCTTTCTGCAGCATCTGTGGCATTCTTCTGACCCCAACAGCAAGATTTCGACCTCTAATCCGCTTACTTATGCGGATCGACTACGGATTAGAGACCCGGGTGACTCAAAATTCACCCTCGGACCGCACGTCGACGGTGGCTCACTTGAGCGCTGGGAAGACCCGGAGTACTCGCGAGTGTACACAAAGATCCTTGAAGGCAACTGGGAGCAGTATGATCCATGGGACGCGAAGCACCGCCTAAGCGCCAAGATGGATATGTACAACGGCGCCGGCGCCTGCTCGATGCTGCGCTTCTTCCAGGGCTGGCTATCCATGTCCGACACCGGGCCGGGCGAAGGCACGCTGCATGTATGCCCGATGCTCATCCACAGCACAGCTTACACGATCCTGCGGCCATTCTTTGACGCGAAGAGCCTCCAGCCTCTGCAGGACGCTACCTTCCCGGGCTCTGTCCCAGGGGCTTGCCAGGAATATAACCCGGTCACGCACCCACACCTCGATCTGGAGACGACGATGGTCTCAGTGCCGCAGGTTGAGCCTGGGGACTTTGTCGCCTGGCACTGCGACTCGCTGCACTCCGTGGACAAGGAGCATCGCGGCAAAAACGACTCCAGTGTGCTCTATATCCCCGCCACTCCGTTGTGCGACATGAACGTCGACTACCTTCTCAAGCAGCGCCAGGCTGCGCTCTCTTACTCCCCGCCATGGGATTTCCCTGGTGCTGGTAGTCCCGGTGAGATGGGCTTCCAGGGTGCTATGGACTGGTCCTCGCTCAACCCTGAAGGCCAGCGTGCTATGGGGCTGGGTAATGAGCCGTGGGAGATTACGGATGCTATGACTGAGGGTGAGAAAGAGGCTGTGCGGTCAGCTAACAAAAAGTGCTTCGGAGTGTAACGGCATGACTAAAAGTCAACCATCATTTTCTGGGAGTTTAATGGGATGTCAATTTCTTTTCTGTACGTATGTTGACAGAATGCCATGTATTTCATCATTGTCACACATGAGTGGACTAGGTAAATTTACTAGTAATACGCCTCACTTCCCACTCCCACAAAGAATGCCACTAGAGCAGCCTCTGAATATGCTAACTTAGATGGATGGGATAAAATTATAGAGCAGAAAGTTCCAGTCAGCGTCGGCGACTGATCCCGGCTAATATATAATGATCGTCAAGGAATATGATATAATAAACCTGTTGAAATTTTGGTCTCTTCTTTTGAACCTACTCCGAAGGGCTTCAAAGGCGCCATTATACGTAAGATCGCGTGCAAGGTAATCTATGTCCTCGGGACGTGACCCTAAATCATCCAAGTAAAGTTTAGTGTCCTCCGCATTTCCGCCCTGTCTGGGGTTGGTTGCCCTCTATACCATTTCCTCATATGGTATTAGCTGTTGCTGACTCGCCCCTTGCCCATATCAAGGCTCAAACTGGCATCCTAAAGAAAAGATTGAAACCCTGGAAAAAGTGTTAATGTCCACTGCCTTCCTTCCCTATAATCTCTATCAGTACGGACATCTACTAATAAAGAAACTGGAATGGCTCTCTGTGTTTCTCTACCTATCTTTGATATCATGCCACCTATGGAAATGGATATATGCCAACATTCCAACAAGCGTGCTAAGACTTCCCAGGAGAACAACCCCCCAGTTGTAACTAACCCTATATTAGTGTCCTTAGGGCCAGGCTCGACTGAGTTATACGAACCCCAGCCCTAGAGGATATGGAAGGAGCCAGCTTTATTTTCTCGGGTCTCCACAACACGATGTTGATATCATGTCTTATTTGTCAAGTCCATTTTATTGAAGTCTGAGACCGAAAGAGTCTACACAGTTTGTTATTAGAAGAAATAGGTGATCTGTTCTTCGCTCAGTAGGTGTCGTACGACGCCATCGGGTCCTTCAGATCCAGGTTCCGCTAGAAGAATTACTTTACAGTTAGCAGCGAAAGGTATTTTCTTACCTCTGTGGGTTGGTGATTCTCCATGCATAGCATTGGCAGTGGATTGCAGCTCGTCTTAAGCTAAAGTTGTGGGCAGAGTAACCACACAGAAGAACTGACAGGTTTCTTTTGCTGGAGAGTCAATGACAGCCAGATTATGGGTGATTCTCGGCTGGCTTCATGTACGCAAAAGGGTTACATCTAGGAGTAGCACTAATAAAAAGGCTGAATGGATGTGGGGTCTAAAATGAAGTCTAAGCAATGGATTTCCTTCTGATCAATCAACTTTTTTTGCTCTTTGGTAAGCTTCTATGCAATGAAATAGACTAAACCACTAGCTCCTATTGCCAGAGAGTATAGGGTAGCAACTCTTAGTTTCACTGAATGACCCAGTCGACTGTCCGAGCCTATCGGCAATTGGTCTTGTTCCTTGTCATTCTAGTGATTACATCTAAGTGTATCTTTGTATATCATTTGATTTGACATCAAACTGCTATCGCAGTGGCATCCGCCTGAAATTCTTTTCTTTTGATGGTAATAGTAGGTGAAGCAGTGAAGCATCTGATAAGACGGACATGTGGTAATAAAAGGACGGTAGACCGGGTGCAAAAGCATCGTGGCCTGCTTGGTGTCGCTCAATTGTAAACCGTATCACGGGTAAACTGGGCGTTCATCTGCGACCGGAGGAACTTCCCATAAGGGTATTTGGTGATTCGATATATGGCACCAGCATTAGTACGCTTTTCTAACTTGATTACTAGTGTGCTTTGTTCTTAGCCTAAAGAACGTCACACAGTAACATTAAGTTGTTCCACCCGTAGGATGAAGATACTGATGAGGTAGCTGAATATTCCGTATCGCTTGCCTACTCCATCACCCACTTACCGAACACGCTATTTCCTTATGGAAAAGGGCTAATTAAACGTAGCCTTAAGGTCAGGTGCTTGTTTTACTGTAGCTGAGGTTTAGAAAACCCTTGACTTTTGTCTCCACCTAGATAAAACCGGGGAAACGAGGCGGGCCAAAGAAATACTAGGCAATGTGGCGCCTGGAAACTGACCCGTAATTCAATTTATTTGGACCCGTGCGCTCCATCTTAATGAAACTGAATTGTAGAGAATGAAATACTACAAAAGCTACAAGCTTCCTCCGGAATTGTATCTCTGGAATATCCTCCACTGCTAACCAGGTTCTCTACTCTTATTCCCTCCGATTTCATTATCAACATGGCTTTCAAAGAAAGTTCTATTATGTTGCTGGCCTCTTTGGGTGTCGTGTCGGCTTCTTGTATATCTTCCGGAGACCAAACAACCATAAATAATCTATTCTCTTCGGGTGGTGAAGGGACCATCGTTCAGCTCTGTGCAGATGCTGCCATTATTGTTTCTGGGCCAGTTACGTTCACAGCCTCGAACCAGGAGATTTCAACAGAGGGCTATCCCACTGATGACACCCGGGCAATTATTCAGCCTGCCTCGGGCACGAATACAACTACAATGATCACTGGGTACGGGTATGACTACCTTCGTATATTGAACATTCAGCTTGATGGGCTTCGTCCTACCCTAGGGTTGGTTGCGAGTACGTAATAATCCTAATTAAACCAGATTCTTAATCTGTACGCTGACAAACTTGTAACAGATGGAGGTGCCAATATCGACATCGGCCAAGGCAGTAACGGGATTATCGTATCGAATATCGTATCCAAGAACACTCGTGGATGGAGTTGCCTTCATCTGCTTCAGTCGGGCAACTCTACTCCATGCACAAACGTGACAATCAGCAATAATAACATCGGCCCATGTGGAAACGAGGGCCTTAGCTCTACCGGTGTGTCTCAATGGGCGGACGGTATCTCGTTTGCTTGCGAGAACTCTCTTATAGAGAATAACTTGGTATGGAGCCCCTGCAGTCCTCTAGTCCTTTTGTACTTCATTATACTGATCGACGTGTCTTTAGGTCAATGGTAGTACTGATGGAGGAATTGTCTTGTTCGGAGCTCCCAAAACGACCGTCAAAGACAACACCATTATTTCTTCCAGCACTGAATCGGGATTCGGAGGGATCAACATGGTCGACTATCTCTACGGCGGTAGTTATGACGGTGTTGTCGTGACGGGGAATACAATTACGGGGAAAAAGATGTTCAATGTCGGGATTGCCATCGGTGCATATGCCTGGTCTTTCAATGATATTGCTTTGTTGCAAGGACCAGCAACTATCTCGGACAATACCTTTAGCGGAAATCTTCCCTTTGCTATTGCCATCAACGGCTGGAGAGGTGGTCTCATGGTAGGCTTTGCTGCACTAAGCTGTCTAACTAGTTCGTTAATGGGTATAACAGGTCACTGGGAACGACGTGTCTGGAGTAAACAGCCCGAGCTCTGATTACTCGGATTCGAATTCCTGCAACGCGGCAACCAAGGCGTTGTGGAGCGAGAGTGCTCATCTGTCGTACTACCCGTCCGGTCTCATAGGTCCCTCCAGTCTGCAGTCTGGCTTTGTCGCCGCATCGGCCAACTCAACCAACTTCATCTGCACTACGCCCCTTCTCCCGACATCAATTACGTACGGACTGAATGGTCTCAATGTCGGGGTTAACAATGTCCTTGCCAACCTTCACGGCAATATCTACACCTCATACCAAGGCGACAACAACATTGTGGTGTACAATACTGCGACTGGCACCGCCGTCACTGAGTGGGCTTCTGGACATACAGATTCCGCCTGCAGCACGACCAGCACGTGCACCTGTGACTTCCAGGGCGATGGGAATTTTGTCACGTATGTGGACGGGGTGGCGCAGTGGTCTTCTGGGACAGCAAGTGAAGGCCATACGGTGACTTTCTTGAATGAATCTCCGTGGATTGAAATTGCGAATGCAGCTGGAGCAGTCATTTGGACCACCGTTGATACGTAGTGAGGCTGATTTGATTGGAGCGAGCTTGAGGGTGCTGCGACGTATACATCCGTGGGTGACGGGGTTCTGCCATATTGTTCCAAGTCAGTAGACTAATAGCTCATTCGGGAACTGTAGCATTATGAGATTCCCAATTATAACCAGACGAATAACTAAAACAGAACTACTTTCTGTGGCCGAACTGGATGGTTAACACTAGTCCAATCAGCATCACCGCCTTCACTTAGCTCGGTTTGACACCATCGCATCAACAATCCCGACGGCACCGCTTCCTCCTCCCCCCTTTCTTCCCCAACGCCTCGCGCTCTTCAATGTCCCTCCTATAAGAGCGACGCTCATAATGCGACTCCAGGCCGCACTCTTTCTGGCCGCATGGGCGGCCCCCGCGGCGGCCATCTATCTCGACGAGGTTAATCACGTCGACTTCCACCATGCTCTCCTCGGCACGCCCTCCCCCGACTCGACCTTCTTCCTGAAACCACCCTCCGCCTCCAATGCCTCGCTTCTCTACACGATATCCGATAGACTGACTGTCGGCGCTGTCAACCCCCGTGATGGGTCGCTGCTCTGGCGGCAGGACCTCTCACGCTCGGCTGGGCCTGCAGCGGGTTTCCTACGCGGCGAGGATGGGAATAATGCGGTAGTCGGTGCTGCGGGAAGATACGTGTCATCGTGGGGTGCACAAGATGGCAAGTTGATTTGGGAGAACCAGTTTACGGATGGGGTTGTCGCGGACCTGGAGCTGTTGGCACTTCAGGATGCCAGTGCCAAGCCCGATGCGAAAGACTCAATTGCGCTGTTGGCAGCCGAGAGCACCGGGATTGTCAGGCGGATGGGTGCCGATTCTGGAAATGTCAAGTGGGAGTACAAAGACGACAGGTTGGTTTGCTTGCTATGATGTTGACCGGGCCATGCTGATTGAACCGTTTTTGCTAGTGGCGACGTCCCTTTCCAAGTGTCGTCTTCTTCTACCGAAGTTTTCTACATCTCGCTCCAGTCGGCCCTGTTGAAGGGTTATAAGATCAAGGTCACCGCGTTGGATCCAGTCACAGGCCGACAGACTCGCCAGCTGACCCTGAACTCTGAGAACGACGTGGCCACCCCGGAGTCTGTCCTTTTCGTGGGCGCTAATACTGCTTCCCCCTTGATCGTTTGGGCGGACAAGTCCCAGAAGACGTTGAAGGTCAATGTCATCGGCACCAAGCAGGTCAACTCGGTCGCCATTGACAATACTTCTGGCGAAGAGATCAAGAGCATTACCGTCCATGCTCCGCATAAGCTTAACTCCCTTCCGCATTTCTTGATCCACTACGCGACTGCTACTGGCGCATGGGCTGAGGTGTATCATGTGGATTTGAAATCGTCCGATGTGAAGAAGGCCTACCAGCTTCCGTATCTGCTGGGCCAGTCTGCAGTTGCGACAAGCAGTATCGATGCCAATGTGTACTTCACGCGGATCACCGATTCTGAGGTAGTGGTTGTTTCCTCTGCTTCGCACGGCATTTTGAACCGCTGGCTTCTGCAATCGTCTTCATCTGATCTTGCACTGAGTGCCGTAGCAGAGGTCGTCTCCAAAGGAAGCTCTGTGGCTGTTCGATCGGCCACGCTCCGGGAGTCTGGCGACTGGCAACTCATCCGCAACGGACAGGTTGAATGGACTCGGCACGAAGCACTCGTCGGGACCATGGCAGCCGCCTTCGCGGAAGCAGACGACCAGGAGGACCTGGCGCATGAGCTGGAGGTTGAAGGCCACGAAAGCTTGTATGGCGCCTATATCCACAGAGTGAAGCGCCATCTGCGAGACCTCCAACACCTGCCCGACTGGCTGAAGGAGCTACCAAAGCGGATCTTCAGCAGCCTGCTGACAGATGAAGTCACCAATCTGGACAGTTTTGGAGTCTCTAAGTCTGTCATTCTGGCTACGGAGAATGGCCGTGTTTATGCTCTGAATACCGGAAACCAGGGCAAGGTTTTGTGGAGCGTCAGGGCGGCCGAGGCCGCAGCGTGGAATGTGAAAGCCATCGTGACTCGACCGGGTGTTGCGACCATCTACCCCGACGACGGAAGTTCCGTGTCCGTGAATGTCTCCACGGGAGATATCATTGCGCGTACCCCTCCTACCAATGTCAAGGTCCACTCAATTGCTGTGGTGGATATCGAATCATCGCCCGAGCCGGTGACCCTGAGTATCCGTGAAGATGGCACACCAGCTGCCTCATTTGAGGATAAAACTGGGTTCCTGGTGACTACCAGCGTTGATGGCCGTGTTCTGGGTTGGCTTGCTCAGGACAACAAGTCTCCAGTGTGGGAGTTTGTTCCCCCTGTGGGCCAAAAGGTAATCCGGGCAACAGCTCGCCCAGCACAAGACCCAGTTGCATCAATTGGCAAGGTCCTTGGGGATCGGTCCGTTCTGTACAAATACCTCAACCCCAACTTGGCGCTGGTAACCTCCGTCAGCGAGAAAGATCACACTGCCAGCTTCTACCTGCTGGATGGAGTCTCCGGCAAAGTTCTTCACGCGACTACGCAAACGGGTGTCGACACGACGCAGCCGATTGCCTCCGCCATGTCTGAGAACTGGTTCGCCTACTCTTTCTGGGGCGACCTCTCCAGCGAGAGACCCTCCAAGGGCTATCAGCTCATCATTTCTGAGCTCTACGAATCCCCTTTCGCCAATGACCGCGGTGCCCTGGACTCAGCTGGCAACTATTCCAGCCTTCACAGCAGCAGCGAGGACGGCCTCCCTCTTCCGCACGTTGAATCCCAAGCCTTCATCATCCCCGAACCCATCTCTCATATGGCTGTCACCCACACTCGGCAGGGCATCACCACCCGCCTGCTGCTTTGCACTCTCCCATCCTCAAACTCCATCATTGGTATCCCGCGCCCGGTCCTGGACCCACGTCGTCCCGTCGGCCGCGACCCTACCACCGCCGAGGCCGAAGAAGGTCTATTCCGCTACGCGCCCTTCCTCGACTTTGACGGCAAATGGTTCCTCTCTCACGGCCGCGACGTCTCAGGTATTACGACTGTGCTATCTAGCCCCACCCTACTGGAAAGCACAAGCCTTGTGTTTGCCTTTGGCGGTGATATCTTTGGCACTCGTGCTACGCCTAGCGAGGCTTTTGATATTCTTGGAAAGAGCTTCTCAAAGGTGCAGCTGCTTCTTACGGTCGTGGCACTGGGTGTGGGTGTCGCAATTGTGGCTCCTATTGTGAGTGCTTTCTTGTTTACTGTCAGATTTTACTGTGCTCTTGCTGACCTGTTATTTTCTAGACTCGGAAGAAACAAATCAACATGCTTTGGAAGGCTTAGAGTATTGGAAGAGGTTGATTTCTTTACTTTTCAGGATATACCTGTAACTTTTTGGAGACCAGACCAAGGCCAAATCACAGCAACCACAGCGTGAAGAATGTCTAATTGTGAAACTAATTAATTGCTCCCGTTTGACTGTCCTTCATTGGTGGGTGTCGCTCCCATCCCACGACCGATAGTTCGGCAGAGAGAGATTTGCCACGGTTTGATGATCAAGGCCGTGTAGTTTTCGTATGATCCCCGAGTCACGCCTCACATGACGAAATGCGTTGATCGCCTGGCCAAGAGGCTCTAAACTTGTCATACTTGGCCCTAGCAGTAAACCTGCCATGACATCACTCAGGCTCTAATAGTTTTGGAAAAAACAGGGACCAGCATTTCTAGTAGATTCTTTGCATTCTATTCTAGAAAGTACACATCGTATAGCTAAGAAAGCAGTCATACTGGCCACCCACTCTCGATATCTTATAGAAAAGACAGAAGCCGTGGACCACGTGGGGGAATCATTCGTTCAGTCATTTGCATCGACAACAGGATACTCTTGCAACATCAAATCCACCATGGTATCTCAGAAATTCAGAAATCAACCAGTGCACCTCCAGCGCTCATGTACATTTTTTGTGCATCAGTAAGAAAAATATAGACAGTCCGTTATATATACGTCTAATGACCATCTCCCCTCACCACAAGGGCATAGGCGAGGTATTGACATAGTCGACATTCTCAGGCACGGACTCAATGCGCTCATAGCAAGTGCCAAAGATGCGGTCCCAGAGACGAGTCTGCTTGCCGTAGTTATGGCTCTTCTTCCAGCCCTTGCGGTGGTGCAGGTCGTGGTCTTCGATGACGAGCTCAGCGTTGAAGAAGCGCAGCGCCCAGCTGAAAAGATTCGGCGGGACGGCGTGGACACGCAGGCCGCTGTGGCCCGCCAGCTCGGCGTAGACGACGTACATGTGGCCGATCCACCACTCGTAGAAGCCCATCGGCATGCCCATAGCCTTCATCGTGAAGTAGGTCGCGAGCGGCACGCCGGCGATGTCGAAGAACTCCTGCTCCAGGTCGGCGTATAGCGTCAGGAGCGGGTTCGGGTGCTTGGTCAGGTGGTGGGTGCGGTGGTACTTCCACAGCCCATCGACGTCGTGCATCAGCCGGTGGTACCAGTAGAACCAGAAGTCGAGGATGATGCCGTACAGTCCTGCCTCGAGAGGCAGCCAGTACCAGTTTATTGTGGCCGGACTTTGGTTTGCGCGGTAGGCGAGGAAGACGGTGAACATGGGGCGGAAGGTCGAGGTTGAGAGCAGGGAGCGCACGACCTTGGCGACGCCGACGTCGGGGACGCCGTCACGAGCGTGCTTGTCGCCGTCGAGGAAACCATGGATGTGGCCGAGGCGACGGAGGACGTGCAACTCGTGGATGGCGATGGCCTTGAAGGCCATGCTGTAGAATACCATGGCAGCGATGACGCTGAGGTTGCGGCCGGTGTACTGGACGTAGGCCTGGTGCAGGATGAGCGGGATTGCCGAATGGCACAATACCCAGCGGTGCATCGACCAGTCCGGCACGTAGGGAATGGGTGTCTCTTTCTCATGCACGGGCACTTCCTTGTCGAGGTGTTCTGGGTGGATGCCCAGCAGTTCGTAGAACCAGTGGAAGATCGACCACTCGGACTTGCTTTGGGTCCGCCA